CCCCACGGTGATTGTTATCCCGACGGGAATTCGAGAGGTGAACATCACCCCGATCTCCTCGTACGACTGGCTGTACAGCTCCTGGGAACCGGGAATTGTCGTTATCCCGACGGGAATTGTTATCCCATCGGGAATTCCAGAGGCGAACATCACCCCGATCTCCTCGCACGACTGGCTGTACAGCTCCTGGGAATTGGGAATTATCCCGACGGGAATTATCGTTATCCCGACGGGAATTAATTATCCCGATGGGAATTATCGCAACGGAAATTATCCCAACGGAAATTATCCCACCTGGAATTAATTATCCCACCGGGAATTAATTATCCCACCGGGAATTAATGTTCCCACCGGGAATTATCCCAGTGGGAATTATCCCACCAGAAATTTGGAATCGCACCGGCAATTATCCCACCAGGAATTAATTATCCCACCGGGAATTAATTATCCCACCAGGAATTAATGTTCCCACCGGGAATTATCCCAGTGGGAATTATCCCACCAGAAATTTGGAATCGCACCGGCAATTATCCCACCAGGAATTAATTATCCCACCGGGAATTAATTATCCCACCGGGAATTAATGTTCCCACCGGGAATCAATCATCCTGCCTGGAATTATCCCGATAGGAATTTTTATCGGGAATTTTCATCCCACCGGGAATTATCCCACCGGGAATTATCCCGCCGGGAATTATCCCAAGGGGAATTGGGAATCACACCAGGAATTAATCACCCCACCGGGAATTATCCCGCCGGGAATTCCGGAGGGCCCCGAGACAGGACCGGGCAGGGATGGGTCACTCGGGATTTGTGGGATGGAGGGAAAGGTGGGATTATGGGAATGGGGTTGGGAATCCGCGGGTCCCATCCCGAGGAATTCCGGGATTCCGGGATCCAGGAGGCTCGGGATCCATCCCCAGGGATTTTTATGGAATTTTGGGAAAGGAAATCCAGGGATTTTCTGGGGTTTGGGGTTTTTTTTTTTTGGGATACCCCAGGAATTCCTTCCCAAATCCCAAATCCCTCCCCCTTTTCCCATGGGAATTCCCTCCATTCCCAGCCTGGGACTGGATCCGGAATCAGCCTGGAATTTTTTGGGAATTATCCTGGAATTATTTGGGAATTACTGGGGAAATATTCAGGAATTATTCAGGAATTATTGGGGAATTATTTGGGAATTACTGAAGCCATTCCGGGATTCCGGGATCCGGGAGGCTCGGGATCCATCCCAAGGGATTTTTATGGAATTCTGGGATAGGGAGACCCTTCCTGGAGTCCCCAATTCCCAGGGAATTCCCGAAATTCCTTCCCGGACAGGAGTCGGGATGGGGACGGAGCCAGAATCCGGAGGGATAATGCTGGGATAACGCAGGAAAGAAGAGGGGAAAAAAGGGGAAAAAAGGGAAAAAAAGGGAAAAAAAGGGGAAAAAAGGGAAAAAACGTGGGGAAAAACGTGGGGAAAAAGCAGGGAAAAAAGGGAAAAAAGGGGAAAAAAGGGGAAAAAAGGAAAAAAAAGGGAAAAAAGGGAAAAAAAGGAAAAAAATGGAAAAAAAGGGAAAAAAGTGGGGAAAAATGGGAAAAAATGGAAAAAAAGGGAAAAAAGTGGGGAAAAAGCAGGGAAAAAAGGGGAAAAAAGGGGGGAAAGGGAAAAAGGGGAAAAAAGGGAAAAAAAGGGGAAAAAAGGGGAAAAAAGGGAAAAAAAGGGAAAAAAGTGGGGAAAAAAGGGGAAAAAGGGGAAAAAAAGGGGAAAAGCAGGGGAAAATGGGAAAAAAGGGGGAAAAAGGAAAAAAAATTGGGGAAAAAGCAGGGAAAAAAGGGAAAAAAAGGGAAAAAGGGGGGAAAAATGGGAAAATAGGGGAAAAAGGGGAAAAAAGGGGGAAAAAGGGAAAAAAAGGGGAAAAAGGAAAAAAATTGGGGAAAAAGCAGGGAAAAAAGGGAAAAAAGGGGAAAAAGGGGGAAAAATGGGAAAAAAGGGGAAAATAGGGGAAAAAAGGGAAAAAAAAGGGGAAAAAGGGAAAAAAGGGGAGAAAGGGAAAACAAGGGAAAAAAGGGAAAAAAGGGAAAAAAAGGGGAAAAAAAGGGAAAAAAAGTGGGGAAAAAAAGGGGAAAAAAGTGGGGAAAAAATGGAGAAAAAAGTGGGGAAAAAAGTGGCGAAAAAGCAGGAAAAAGCAGGAAAAAAGTGGGAAAAATGCAGGAAAAAAGCAGGAATAAAGCAGGAAAAAAAGACGGGAAAAAGCAGGGAAAAAAGTGGGGTAAAAAGTGGGGAAAAAAGCGGGAAAAAGCAGGAAAAAAGTGGGAAAAAAGCGGGAAAAGTAGAAAAAAGTGGGGAAAAGGTAGAAAAAGCAGGAAAACACAGGAAAAAAGTGGGGGAAAGGTGGGGAAAAAGTGGGGGAAAAGTAGGAAAAAAGCAGGAAAAAGCAGGGAAAAAGTGGAGGGAAAAGCGGGGAAAAGGCAGGAAAAAGAGGGGATAAAAAGCAGGGAAAAAAGCAGGAAAACACAGGGAAAAAAGTGGGGGAAAAGCGGGGAAAAAAAGAGGAAAAAAGCGGGGAAAAAAGCAGGAAAAGGCAGGAAAAAAGTGTGGAAAAAAGTGGGAAAAGCAGGGAAAAAAGCGGGGGGAAAAGTGGGAAAAAGCAGGGAAAAGTGGAAAAAAAAAAGCAGAAAAAAGTGGAAAAAAGCGGGGGAAAAAAGCGGGAAAAAGTGGGGAAACAAACCAGGAAAAATACCAGGAAAAAAGGCTGGAAAAAAGTGGGAAAAAAAGGAGGAAAAAGCGGGGAAGAAAGAGGGGAAAAAGCAGGGAAAAGAAGGAGAAAAATGAGAAAAAAGTGGGGAAAAAAAGCAGGGAAAAAGTGGGAAAAAGTGAGAAAAAGTGGAGAAAAAAGCGGGGAAAAAAGTGGGAAACCAGGGAAAAAAAAGAGGGAAAAAGCTGCGAAAAAAGCGGGAAAGTGGGGAAAAAAGCAGGGAAAAAGCAAGAGAAAAGTGGGAAAAAGCAAAAAAAAGGGAAAAAAACGGGGAAACAAACCAGGAAAAATACCAGGAGAAAAGGCTGGAAAAAAGTGGGGAAAAAAAGCAGGAAAAAGTGGGGAAAGAAGAGGGAAAAAGCAGGGAAAAATTTGGGAGGAAAATGGGAAAAAAGCAGAAAAAAAAGCAGGGGGAAACAGCAGGGAAAAATGGGGGGAAAAGCAGAAAAAAAGTGGGAAAAAGCTGGAAGAAAGTGGGAAAAAAATGAGAAAAAGCAGGGATAAAACTGGGGAAAAAAGCAGGGAAAAAACAGGGAAAAATAGCAGGAAAAAGCAAGGAAAAAAGTGGGAAAGCACGGGGAAAAAAGTGGTGGAAAAGCGGGAAAAAGTGGGGAAAAAAGCAGGAAAAAAGTGGAAAAAATGCGGGAAAAAAGTGGGGAAACAAACCAGGAAAAATACCGGGAAAAAAGCTGGAAAAAAGTGGGAAAAAAACAGGAAAGGAGCGGGAAAAAAGCAGGAAAAAAAGCAGGAAAAAGCGGGGAAAAAAGCGGGAAAAAAAGCAGAAAAAAAGTCAGGAAAAATCAGGGGAAAAGGCCAGAAAAAGTGGGAAAAGAAAAACAGGAAAAAAGTGAGGCAAAAAGCAGGGAAAAAGGGGGAAAAAAGGGGGGAAAGTGGGAAAAAGCAGGGAAAAAGCAGGAAAAAAGAGGAGGAAAAAATCAGGAAAAAGTGGGGAAAAAAGGGAAAAAGCAGGAAAAAGAGGGGAAAAAGCGGGAAAAAGCAGGAAAAAAGTGGGGGGAAAACAGGAAAACTCAGGAAAAAAGGGGGAAAAAAGGGAAAAAGCAGAGAAAATCAGGAAAAAGTGGGGGAAAAGTGGGGGAAAACCAGGAAAAAAGCAGCGAAAAAAGCAGGACAACGTGGGGAGAAAGCGGGAAAAATCAGGGGAAAGTGGGAAAAAAGCGGGAAAAAGTGGGAAAAAGCAGGAAAAAAGTGGGGGAAAAAACAGGAAAAAAGCAGGAAAAAGCAGGGAAAAAGCGGGGAAAAGCAGGAAAAAGGGGAAAAAGTGGGGGAAAAGCGAGGAAAAAAGCAGTGAAAAAGCGGGAAAAAGCGTGAAAAATCAGGGAAAAGTGGGGAAAAACGGGAAAAAGCAGGAAAAAAGAGGGGGGAAAACAGGAAAACTCAGGAAAAAAGGGGGAAAAAAGGGAAAAAGCAGAGAAAATCAGGAAAAAGTGGGGGAAAAGTGGGGGAAAACCAGGAAAAAAGCAGCGAAAAAAGCAGGACAACGTGGGGAGAAAGCGGGAAAAATCAGGGGAAAGTGGGAAAAAAGCGGAAAAAAGTGGGAAAAAGCAGGAAAAAAGTGGGGGAAAAAACAGGAAAAAAGCAGGAAAAAGCAGGAAAAAGCGGGGAAAAAAGCGGGAAAAAAAGCAGAAAAAAAATCAGGAAAAAGCAGGGGAAAAGGCCAGAAAAAGTGGGAAAAGAAAAACAGGAAAAAAGTGAGGAAAAAAGCAGGGAAAAAGGGGGAAAAAAGGGGGAAAAGTGGGAAAAAGCAGGGAAAAAGCAGGAAAAAAGAGGAGGAAAAAATCAGGAAAAAGTGGGGGAAAAAGGGAAAAAGCAGGAAAAAGAGGGGAAAAAGCGGGAAAAAGCAGGAAAAAGCGGGAAAAAGTGGGGAAAAACAGGAAAAAAGCAGGAAAAAAGCAGCAAAATAAGCAGGAAAAAGCAGGGAAAAGCAGGAAAAAGGGGAAAAAGTGGGGGAAAAGCGAGGAAAAAAGCAGTGAAAAAGCAGGAAAAAAAGCAGGAAAAAGCGGGGAAAAAAGCAGGAAAAAAAGCAGAAAAAAAATCAGGAAAAAGCAGGGGAAAAGGCCAGAAAAAGTGGGAAAAGAAAAACAGGAAAAAAGTGAGGCAAAAAGCAGGGAAAAAGGGGGAAAAAAGGGGGGAAAGTGGGAAAAAGCAGGGAAAAAGCAGGAAAAAAGAGGAGGAAAAAATCAGGAAAAAGTGGGGAAAAAAGGGAAAAAGCAGGAAAAAGAGGGGAAAAAGCGGGAAAAAGCAGGAAAAAAGTGTGGGGAAAACAGGAAAACTCAGGAAAAAAGGGGGAAAAAAGGGAAAAAGCAGAGAAAATCAGGAAAAAGTGGGGGAAAAGTGGGGGAAAACCAGGAAAAAAGCAGTGAAAAAAGCAGGACAAAGTGGGGAGAAAGCGGGAAAAATCAGGGAAAAGTGGGGAAAAAGTGGGAAAAAACAGGAAAAAAGCAGCGAGAAAATCAGGGAAAAGCGGGAGAAATCAGGGGAAAGCGGGAAAAAGCGGGGAAAAGCGGGAAAAAGTGGGAATACGGACCTCATCCCGCTTTTTGGAGCCCAGGAAGTGTCGGGCCACGTGCTCGGGCAGCATGTTGGCCACCAGGGCCTCGTTCCAGCGGCGCATCTCGGAGACGCGCTCCTTCTGCTCGTGCACGTCCGCCTTCCACAGGAACAGCGTCCGCGCCAGCCGCTCCACCTGGGAATGGCGGGAATAACCGGAATGGCGGGAATGACCGGAATGGCGGGAGTAACGGGGATGGGGGCGGGAATGATGGGAATGGGAATGATGGGAATGATGGGGGAATAAC